TTGTTTTGTGCACTTTTACTTCCTCTCCTAAGTCCAGCTCCTTACTACTTCAAATTCTTTCATCTAATTCATCTTAATTCCTGCCAAAACAAGGAAAACCAAGCGTAAAACCCATCAAACTCTTTTATTTCCAAAACTTAAGTAAAAACATGATTCCAAGCTAGTTTCTAAGTCATAAAGGTTGTTTTTAATATCAAAATTAAGTATAAAAATAACGGTCTTTCAACCGTTATCACCTTCCATCATTGGAGAGGATTTGTGGACACTTGTCCACTCCTTAGAAGGCCTCATTTTTGGCCAATGAGAGCAAAGGTGGGAGATCATGCTTTTAGGGTTAGAAGGAGACACCCTTGGCCTATAAATAGAGGTGTCTTCACCCTTGTATTTTATATTTGATGTTGAGTAATGTTATGCTGCCCATTTTTGGCCATACTACTCATCTTAGATCAAGATAGAGCAACTCATGAGGCCCCTCTAGTCACCTTCCTCGTTGAGTTGGCCTAACCTCTCTTGGAGCCACCAAACACTACACCACCACCACCACCACCACCATATCTCCTAGAGGCTTTGAGCTTCTACAACATTAGCTCATCATCCTTGGACCATTTACCATCACATTTCCGCACCATTCATCCAAGGAGCATCCCTCCATGCACATCTCCTAGCTTTTGCCCAACATAACCAAGGAGGTTCCATCAGGAAGTTGTTGGAGATAAGTTGGTGTGATGAAAGCAAGAGGAACACCAACATCAAGGCTTTAAATTGAACATTACGATGTCAGGCTCGTGACGTTAAACAAGCGCTTGCTGGGAGGCAACCCGGTGTTTTTGAAAACTTTTATTTTTATTTGATTTGGTGTGTTTGTTATTTAGTTGCATTAGGGATGTTTTTGTGGATGTATGGTTATGATGTGCATCGAGTGTTAATTATTTTAAGTGTGAGATGTTAAGCTTCAGTTGGAAAGTGGAAAGTGGAAATTTTGAAAGAGCAAAGATCTGAAAAATTAAGGGTTGAAACTGAGGGCTCCTACCTAAAAACACATAAGGCAAGCAAGAAAAAATGGGAGTAAAATCACTGCATCGTGCTGAGCGCCCCTCAGGAGGGCACTGAGAGCCAGCGACGCTGTTACGTTTCCTTGGGCCTTTTAAAGCTCAACGTCAATAGGCCTATTTCACTCTTTTCACCCTAAATATAAATATTTATTTAAATATTAGACGTCACACTCTTTACAATTCGACGTGTCTTTAAACATCAAGTAACGTCGTTCCACATAAATCGACGTCAACGTTACATCATACCTCTTTCTATTGGACATCAACTTTGCGTCTCATCCCCATACGTTTGACGCCAAATCTTCCCTTAAATGTAACTATTTATTCAGATATTAGACGTCAAACTCTGTTCAACTTGACGTGGATATAAAAGAGTAACGCCGGTCTAGGTATTCGACGTCAAACTTACGTCTCCCGCTATGACGTCGAACTCGAATGCGTCATTAAAAGCCAAAAATATTCGACGTTGTACGTTGTTTTTATACTAGTGTGAGTCAGACCAACCTTTGGTTAGGCTCAACTTGTGCCGACCTTCTACCGAGACCAGTGTGGGCCACCTTTTGGTTAGGACCGACGTTTAGTCTAGGTCGACTTGAACTAACATTTGACTGAAACAAATGAGAGTTGATCTTTAGTTGAGATCAACTAGAACTGATCATGACTCAAGTCGACACTCGGTCAAGACCAACTCATGTTGACGTTGGCCTGATCTTTAACTATCTTGACTCGACTTAGACACACTTTGATTTTTGATTTTCAAAATCTAAAAAAGATTCAAAATAAATATGACCCAAATCTAATTAATTGGATTAAGATGTAGATTTTCAAAATCCAAAAAATAATTCAATGTAAATTTAGTCCAAGTCCAAGAAAGTAAATTAGGATTTGGTTTTTCAAAATTCAAAAAATATCCATCTAAATTGATTTAAGTGAATTGAATTTAAAATTCAAAAATATGTATTTAGATTTAGGATAAATCCATTAAATGAACTTAAAACAATATAAATTTAAACTATTATAGACCATATCTAAAAATGTATGTAAATTTTGCTCACCTCTTAATTTTTCTTTTTTTTTTCTCTTTGGAGTTGTGTAACTCTTTCATGTAATCATTGTGCTTGATTTGCCATCATTATATTAGTTCTATGGTTTACTTTTCCCTTAAAAGAAAAAGAATAGCAGTCGTTAAAACTGTGGGGGACACAGTTTGATGAAATTTCTGTGGAAGACAAAGATTCCATAACTTGAAGAACACCCTCTGAAAAGTTTAGACATGCATTCATGAATATAGTACTTCATGTCACAGTCTTTAAAAGCAATATTTACATCTTGTTGAATATAATATTGGAAGTAACACCAAAAGAAGGAAGCAAATTATACGAAGGGAAATTAAGACGAGAGAGTTACTTGTCCTAGGATTTGTTTTAGAGTAAGAAATGAAGAAAACCAAACATAAAGCAGAAAATTGGCGTCGCCCGGACTCGAACCGGAGACCTTCAGTGTGTTAGACTGACGTGATAACCAACTACACCACGACACCACACGGCAAGATTTTTCAGTTAACATTTTTTATTATAAAGTAATTTATTCCTGAAAATATTTAGTACTAGCAAGTTGGTTTCTAGATGTAAAAACTTGATAAAATGTCCCTCAAATAATAATAATAAAAAAAATATCAGCTATACCTGATAATATCTTCGGTTTTATTTGAGGATTAAGGAATATGAATGACTTAAAGACCTTTCTTGATTATATCATCAGACTAAGTTAATGTTTAACTTTGAGTATTTTTATATAACATCGATATGATTAACTATTGTATTATATAGTTTATTTTGAAGTTTTAAACTTTCGTTACGATTCTTGTCTTAAAAATATGTTTTAATTGGTTAAGAGAAAATGTTGTTTATAACTTACCTTTGACCTTAATAAATGTGATAATTTTAGGCGTATTGAAAGTTTCAGTTAAGAACTAAAGAGTAAGAGTGACATAAAATCCTTGATTTTATTTCATGAACAGTGTTACTGATCCAAAATCTAGATACATAATAAAATTATACAAGAATTTGACATATTTTTCGTCGTCTAACCAAAATCTAATAAAAATTAGTGGACAAGATGTCTCTTTTAAACTCAAATCACTATACAAGATTTTGAGATTAATTAAAAATTATTAATGGTAAAATTTTGTGTAGTGTCATCTAACGAAGACAACATAAATTGTAATAATGAAGTTTAGCTTGAACATATAAATAAATGAAGTTGATATCGCATATTTACATAGTTCTTGACTAAGTTATTGGCTTCTATGAAGTGCTTAAAATTTATAAAAGAAAAAATTGATATAAAAATGGTGATAATGTTAGCAATGTTCATCACATATTTAATCTTTATTTTATGTTGAAATTGAGACTCAAATATAAGGTTTGTTATACAGAGAATGTAATTGTTTAACGTATTTGTTTCTATTATATTTTTTTGTCAAAGAGGAGAATACAATACATTTTTACGAAAAGTTCAAAAGCAATTGATATTAATGCTTAACTTTTATATATATATATATATATATATATATATATATATATATATATATATATATATATATATATATATATATAACGAATTGTAATTTTTTTATATTAAAGTTATAATTTATTAATCTTGGTTTTATATTTGAGATCTAATATAATATTACTTGTTTTATTAAATATTGATTGGTTCAATTTGATAATTTAGACATATTAATTTTTCTTTACATGATTAATATGTATATAATATATCCAATCTCTCGTTAAGTTTTAGTGAAATTTTATCATATATTCGAATGATTCCAATGTTGAATCAATTGTTTGCTAGTAACATGATGCAAAATATCTAAGTTCCGTGCAAACGACAAAAACAAAATGATAGATAATTTCGATATTCAGATGATTTTTTTCAATGGAAGAAAATTGATTGTCTTTTTCAATAATTTTCAAAGGTATTATAGCAGGAATAATTTACATAACTTAAATCATAACCGAAATTTATAGCATATTTTATTTGTAACTTAAAATCTTCCATATTGCTTTTAAATTAAACATAGATATATTATGTTATTATGATCATTTTAGACATCAAGAAATTATATGTTTACTTAATTCCTTCAATAAATAAGTTAAAACTTGTATGGGAGAAGGAATAAAAGTGTTTGATTCAAGTTACATATAATGCTATTTTATGTTATAAATGATCTTTCTAAAAATTTAAATGGATACAATGTTAAGATTCATTATATTTTTCTATGTAGAAGAAAGATACAAGTTATGTAGAACTGAAACATATATAAAAACTAAGATAATTTATGGTAAAATTATAAGTATATTAACAGTGAAACATTAGCATGATTTGTTCCGGAAAAAGAAAAGAAAGTTTTAATTAATTATTCTTCCATAGTTCTCAAGTAAAAGACTTTTTTCAATACATCCATAATTTATATACACCATCTCATTTAATATCCAACATGCATGAATCTCACAAGCACGTATCATTTTACGTGTGGCTGACATTTTTTTAATTTTAGGGACATTTTATAAAGCTTTTACTTCAAGAAACTAACTTGCTAGTAGTACAATATATTTTCAGGAATAAATTATTTATTATTTATGACAAAAACATTAATTGAAAAATTCTAGCAAGTGGTGTAGTTGGTTTTCTATATCATTTTTTCTTTATTTCTTACTCTAAATATAATATGCATGATGTTTTAAAGTAATGTAATTACTCACTTTAATTTTAATAATTCATATAAGACACTACAGGATATATAATGAAAACTATCACATATATCTCTTGAAGAAGAATTACGCTTTTTCAACTAGAATATTTTTTTTAAAGGATATATAATCTGTATTTTTCCTTTTATTCACATTATGAACGTAGCTATACTACACAGCTCTATAGTTGTGACTTTAATTACAATATGGTTGAAATATATGTAAAAAAAACTAACTAGCTCTTTTTCAGTGCAATCTAGTCTAAAGAAGATGTTTAAGATGGCTTAGACTTGTGCATCTTGTTCTTTTGGAGTCATCAACTGATGGATCAAAATCTCACTGAACGAAAAAGGTGTCAACAATTTGAAATTACAGAGCTCTCCAACCACCTCTTGCATTGATGGCCTGAACTTTGGTTTCAAACACAAACATCTTAATGCTATTGTTGCAGCAAGCATTATATCTTCAGCATCTTTTCGAGAGTTAGGAAGAGGAATTCGTGCATCTAGGATGTCTTTCAATAACATGTTTTGAGTAGTTGAGTTTGATAAGGTTGAGATCAAATCTCCAGGATGTCTTCCTACTAATGTTTCCAAAGTTACCACTCCGAAACTGTAAACATCACATTTTTCTGTGACAATCAATGTATATGCAAGCTCTGTAATGAACAAAAAGTAGAAATAAGTTATCTCAGCTTCTCAAACTATGTCACTAAATTAACTTTAGGAAGTTTGATTATAATAGAAAATTGAACTTCACCTGGGGCAATGTAGCCATATGTACCAACTACCAAGGTTTGATTTGAAGAATCTGGATCAAGGAGTCTAGCTGTGCCAAAATCTGAAACAAAGGCCTCTAATTGTGAGTTTAGTAGAACATTGCTACTTGTTACATCCCGATGAAGAATTGGTGGGGTACAATCATGATGCATGTAGCACAAAGCATATGCCATTCCTTTAATGATATTCACCCTTGCACTCCAATTCAACTCACCAGCTTCCACATCATCATTCAACATATAAAATAAGCTACTTCTTTCCATGTATTGATAGATAAGAAACATGTACCGATTGTGTAGGCAAAAGCCATGAAGCTTTACAATGTTTCTATGACGGATTTTGGTTAACATCTTCACCTCATTGTGAAAACTTTTATTGAAAGATGGATTTTGAGATTCAATTCGGTGAAGTTTCTTCAGTGCAACAATCTTTCCAGTCGGTAATTGGGCTCTATAAACGCTGCCATATGCACCAGTCCCAATGCAGTATTTGATGTCAAAGTCTTCTGTTGCTTTAATGATATCTTCAAATGCAATTTTACCATCATAATTCCATATAGAAAACAAGTCTCCATTTTTCGATAAGCTTGCATCAAATTTGATTCTAGACTTGTGTCTTGTTAAATATAGAGATAGAAGGATTACAAGAAGAAGGGTGAAGATGATGGGAAGAGCAATTTCAATGCTAAGATTAACTTCACTAGTCTGAGAATTAGTTTGGAGGGAACTAAAGCACAAAGCAAAATCTGGTGGGTTGTTACTGATCAGCGAGTGTCTTGGAAAAGAACAATAATCTGGTGAGTGTAACTTGAAGTCAGGATCTGGTGAAAAGTCAAAAGAATTGTATGAAAGGTTTATATTTGATAGATGGGCAAGTTCCCTGCGAAGTTTACCAGAGAAATTATTATAACTAAGATCCAACTTATCCAGTATTGATTTCATTCCCAAAAGAGATGGAATCTCACCAACAAAAAAATTGTGGCTAAGATCAAGGTCATTCACACAAGCAATTTGAGAAGTTATGCTTCCATTTAATCTATTGTGGCTTAAACCAATCACTGAAATGGAGGGACATTTCATAGTCTCCCATGGAATTGAACCAGATAATTGATTCGATGAGATATACAAAGTAAGCATTTTGTCCATTTGAAAAAGTTTTGGAGGTATTAAACCAGAGAGATTATTTTGAGAAAGACGTAGAGCAACCAAACTGGACAAATTCTGTAGCTCAACAGGTATATGACCTTGCAATTGGTTAGACTCTAGGTAGAGATCTGTCAAATTATTGAGTAGACCTAATGTATGAGGGATTGAACCAGAGAGAAAATTGTTCGAGAGGTGTAATTGGGTTAGATTTGTCAAATTCCCTAATTCTGATGGAATATGGCCTGTAAAAAGGTTTGAATCAAGGTTGAGATAAACCAAGTTCTTCAATTCACCCAATGACATTGGAATGAAACCACTAAGAGAATTTCCAGAAAAATCGAGACGAACAAGTTGAGTGAGATTTGAAAGGGCTTTAGATGGTAGCTTACCTTGGAGGCTATTGCCAGACAAATCAAGATAGGTGAGGTTTGTAAGTGTGCCAATTTCTGCAGGGATGCTTCCCCTCAGACCCATTCCATTCAAATCCAGAAACTGCAAATTGGGAAAGGCTGTCACATTCAAGTTTTGCAGTTCTTGCATTGGAGGAATTGTGAAAGGGAGCAGAGAAGATAAGCCGATCGAAGTAACACTTCCGGCTTCATCACATAGAACACTAGCCCAATAACAATGGTTTGAAACATTTCTGTAATCATTCCACCAACCACTCTTGAGCAAGGCCTGTCTTTCTTCATCCAAGGATGAAGAATTAGAAAGTGGGAACAAGGAAAAATAGCAAGTAACAAAGATCAGCGCAGTAACTAATAAACTGCACTCAGATCTTCTTCTCATAGTTATTTGGTTACTCATCAACTTTATCATCCCTGAGACTTTGGTATTTATCACAGTGCCCAATGGGTTAGTCCAACACTCCAATGTTCAAACTTTCTTTGCAATTTCTCCATTTCCTGAAATAACACCATAAGCTCTTAACAATTCAGACTTACATGTGTAATAATTAAGATGAACTGAATTCAACATGATCACGTTTGAAATGTCAAACGACTTATACTGTGCAAATTGTTTGAATTATATGCCGTAAGACCAATGGAAAGATGTCTCAAGGGACCATCTTTCGGAAAAATAGAACTAAGGAAGACCAATATTAGTGGACTTTTGATCTAATTTAATTTTAAATAATTGATTTGATTTTAGATCTAATTTAATTTTATAAATATCAGCCAATTCTTGTATGTTTATTATGAACAAAACAGCTCTACCAATGTAGTAGGAACATGTAACCACGGTGTACAACGAACCAAGGTCTTTCGAGAGGTCTTAACCTCCTTTTCCAACAATTCCCAAAAAAAAAAACTTTTTGCTCACCTCCTATTAAGACTATTTATAAATAGTATGTTATATTTATGTTATTACAACTTTATTAACTACCTTCTTTTTTTTTCCTTCTTTTGTAAAACTGTATCAAATCTATCATAAGAGTATATTTACATTCATTTATATATACTAAACTCAATTTTTTTTAGTCAACATGACATCTCCAACATGTTTGAAGCGACCATGTTTGAGCAAAATAGAATAAAGGAACAAGTAAGATGAGTGTATGGTATGTTGATGGAAAAGGCAGTGATTGCTTAATAACTAGTTATATTGAGTTATAGGGTAAATTTTTAAAAATGGGATATTTTACTCCATAATTTATAAATATGGAATAGTTACGACTTTTTATTTACTAATTTAGGTAAGTAATGAGTCTTGATGACTTTTTAATGGAAGTCGTCATAAGTCTTGAGGACTTATTCATAACATTTTGAAAAGGTCAAGTCGTCATGACTTATGAAAACTTCTTTGTAAATATGTTGAAAAGGTCAAGTCGTTAGGAGTAATGACAACTTTCGATTCATAGTGAACCAAAATTGTCCTGACTCATGACGACTTTAGTTGTATAAACTTTGATTAAGTATAAATCGAAAGTTGTCTCGTTCAAATTGAAAGTCGTCACCACTTTTGACAACTTTCATTGAAAATATTTACAAAGAAATCATCATGAGTCATGACAACTTCACCTTTACAAAATTTTATGAACAAGTCAGACTAATAACGACTTTACTTAGAAAGTCTTTAAGACTCATGATGACTTCAATTGAGAAATCATCAGGACTCATGATAAGTTACTATAAATATGTAAATAAAAAGTAAACTAACCCATTATTATGTGCAAAAGTACCTATGTTTTAAATTTTCCAAGAGATAAGAAGCACTTTCCTATAAGTAATTGGTGTTGGAAAATAGTGGTGCTTGTTCTCTCTTCTATGAACGCAAAATGGACACTATAAAAAAGCGTAAAAATGATAGAGTATGGAAGATGAAGACACTAAAATTTTTATGCGGAAAACTCTCTCGGGAAAAACCATGGGACATTGTCAAATAAAAATATTTGTAGTATAAAAGTAGAATTACAAAGTGTTTCTCTCAGTCTCTGAGGATCTTCCAATAGAATCTCACCCTCTCGAATGGTATACAAAAAACTCTCTTTTTCTCACGCTCACACAATAGACCTTTCTCTCTATTTTTCTTACACACAACCTTTGGCTTTCCCTCTTTCTCTTCTACGGTTTCTTTCTTCCCCGTGGTGTGTTTTTTCCTTCCATTTGTATCTCTATTTATAAACTATGATGACAAGGAGGTGAAAGGTGACGTTGCTAATTTTGGTGGCTACTTTAGGTGTTTAACTTAAGACTTTGTGACAAGTGAAAAATATGTTTGGTAGCATTAGTTTGTAGTTTTGTATAATCTTAACTTAAAAATGAGTTAAGATTAAGTTTGAGAGTACACATTAAATGAAGGAGATACTAATGTTTAGTAGCATTAATTTGTAGTTTTGTATATAATTTTGATTAGTAATATTGCAAATAAAGTTTTAAATTTATAGTTATGAATGTGATTATAAATAACTTTATTTTTCAACATATGTCAATTGTTCTCATTTTATTATGTGATGGATCTTTTATATTTTTATATTATATTTTGGGAGGTTATATATATATATATATATATATATATATATATATATATATATATATAAAATAATTTTTATATACAGAGTTGTGTATATAAAAACTTATCTTATAAATGTGTTTTGGATAAGTGTAGAGACACTTTTATATACCTCCTTTTGTTAAGTATTTTAATTTATTTAATGAATGATATTTTTTTAATAGTGTTAAATTGAATGTTACAAATTTCTATTAATTGTACATTTTTAACATAATAAATATGTTGTCAGACTTCAGAAATTTAACCCAAACCCCACTTGTTTAATCTCATTAATGCACTCAAAATCTTACTCAGATTCAATTAAAACGCACCCACAACTCTGTAAAATGACGTCAGGTGTCAAGAATGGAAGGTTCGAAAATCAGTAGTGGAAGACAAGTGTCCGCAGGAGAGTGTACGCTCGTTTTACTTGGGAAGAGAAATGATTTTTCTGAAACCTTCTTCCCACTCTCTCTGCATGCACCCTTCTTCTTCCAAAAACATGATCTTTCATTTCTTCCTTCTTCTCTCTAGAAAACTTTTCCCTTCTCTCTACTGTAACTCATTTTTCTCTTCTCCGATCAACATTCAGAAACCGTAGAATTGATCCCGACGTCCCAAGCTTCCTCTTAAACCGAACAAGTTTCAAGTTTGAGCTGGTAAGTTTCTCTTCTTCGTCGAGCGTTCTTTTATTACATGCAAAGCCAAATTCTGGTCGCATGAAGGAGTATAGTCTAAGTTGGAAGAGTTAAGTGATCTTTGAGGGTAGAAAGCTGTAGACGGGCGAACCCAAAATCTTACGTTTAGGACGTTTTACTCACGAATCCAGGTAAGGGAAGCTTATTTAATTTAATCTATATGAAATTGTTTTGTATGAACATCCGCTGTTTGATTGAATGAATATGGTGCATGCTGGTTGATATGTATGAATGTGAATATGAGTAATCATTTTTGGAGTATGAATTATTAATGTGGATTCTATAAAGTATGTAAATTGATATTCGATATGAAGTTATAAGGTATGAACTGATATGTTGAAACTTGAGTTGAAAATAGATGAAAAATCTGAATATGAAATTCTCACTATGATAATGTACGTTCGTCATCGAATGGTCCTCTACCGTTCGGTTTATTTCTAGTAAACTGTTTTAAAATGGAACTCTTTCATTTGGAGAGAATTCTAGTAGAGAACTAGCGTCCTCATGTGGAAATACTATGTTTGAGCGTTCGGCTCAGCATAGTTGTACCCTGATATTCGAAATAAAGTAATACATATATATACCCTTGTACTTTAAGATTAGTAGCGCTCGGTCTTTCACCTAGCGTTCTTAATAAGTAACGCTCAGTCTTTCACCTAGTGTTCGTAATAAGTAACGCTCGGTCTTACACCTAGCGTCCGCCCTAAGTAGTGCTCGGTCTTATACCAAGCGCTCGTACTATTGTATAATCAATCTTGATAAAATAGCGTTCATCCAACTTCAGTAATATTTTCCTTTACCATGTTCGGTTACTTACTGGCATTGAATTTCTGTATATGAACTAGTCTAAATATCGTCCTCAACATCTTGACTAGACTTCTTTCATTGGAACTGTTCTAAGGTCTCCTTACTTAATTTATTCTTTAAGTATTGGTTCGAATTCAAGAGAGTCAGTTCATTCAACTGATTCAAGTGGTAATTACCATTCGTCATAAATTGCATTATTTTACTCGATTCATTTCCCAAATCTAAAAGCAACTCTCTTAGTCTTATTCTGTTATGAACGGGAGAATTATCGGCCTCGTTCTTATCGTTCGTCCTCGTTCTAAAGAGGGCTGAACGTTTGTTATTTAATGTTCTTGTAACTGATGATGAAAATGACAATAAAGTGAAAGATTATAAATGATGAATAGTATAGATGATTAAACGGTTGTGGATTTTGAACGAGCATTCCGGGGAGGAACGACTCATGTATTGAATATTGGAATTTGGTAAAGTATGACTGTGGTTATGCTAATGCTGGCAATTCATCCTGATGTTCCGTGAGTACTCGTCCTCACGTAGAGGGGGGTAGGTCATGTGTGGGAACAGTAGGAGGTCCTAGTCCTTAGTGGTACTTTGGATAGGGCTAACCTCGGGTGGCAGTTGTTGAGTGTATCCCAGTTACTACATCACCCGGGTGCAAGAACGCCTGTAGCTACATAGATTCATACAGTCCGGACGGTCCGTTTAGTGATAGCTTTTGTATGATTATATATGTTGAACTATTCTTGTGTTGTTGGAATGTTTAAATTATATGTTGATGTATGAATTAAATTACATAAGCTTACCCTGTGTTTTTCCTTGTGTTGTCTCTTCCTTGTAAGTCCGTCTTGTCAATTGTAATGATCATCCGTGTGGATGTGAGCATAAGGAGACGCCTTATTGGAAGAAGTGATTGAAGAAGAGAATCTGGTGGACGTTGAAGTTAAGGTCGAGCCTTAGGTCGTCCGGTTGATTTTAGATGTTAGTTGTTTTGTTTAGATCGTTCGGTAATTAGGTTTGTAAATCGTTCGATCTTGTCTTCTTTTCTTATTATGTTAAATTATAATTAACTCTGTACTCAACGCCGTTCGGTTTTTGAACATTAATATTAGTGTAAGACTGTACTGTTTGATTATTAAATGTAATTAATTATATTATATGGTTATTACTGTATTGTATTTTGGGATGTTACACATGTATTTCATTGTGTTTATGGGAAGTGCATGAATTAAGGATTAAATACATAAAAATAACCAAATAATTTGCAAATACGAGATAGTAAATATTGTAAGTTTAGTTATTCATAGTTTTATCTTTTTAAAAAATTTATTTGTATAAATGAATCACGGTTTTAAAAGAAAAATATAACAATTTTTTATTTATAAGGTAAAAAAATATTTATTTATAGATAATACTTATATAATTAACAAATATGTGAATATTAAGAATTTATGATATAAGCAATTAACATAATAAAATTAAGTTCAAATTTTCTACAATTTTTTGTTATCTCCTT